CCCACTGGCCTGGCTTTCCGAGCACCCACACTTGTTGCTTTGCCCACTGGCCTGGCTTCTCGAGCACCCACACTTGTTGCTTTGTCCACTGGCCTGGCTTTCCCAGCACCCGCACTTGTTGCTGTGGCTACTGATGTCGCTGTGGGTTGTTGGGGTAACGAGCTGGTTACACCAAATCCACTCATATTCCTCAGCTTTTTCACATATACATCGTTGGGGTAACGAAGTGGTTACACCAAATCAACTCATATTCCTCAGCTTTTCACATATACTTCATTTTAGGGTAACGAGGTGGTTATTCCACATCAACTCATATTCCTCAGCTTTAAAGATATACGATATGTAAAAAGTTGAGGAATAGGAGTTGATTTGGTGTAACCACCTCGTTACCCCAAATCCACTCATATTCCTCAACTTCTATAATGAATGTATTTTTTAGTGGGGTAATGAAGTCATTACTCCTTGGTATAATATGTGGAGTGAATGTTAATTTACTTTCGTTGACCTCATGTCAGAATATCCTGCCGTCTGACTGTCGATACCCGGGGTAATGGTATTATGACATCTATGTCATCGTTTATAAGGCCATAAATAATATTATTTGTTGTGAAAAAAGATATATCATCATACAAAAAAATATCAAAGAAAAAAGTTTGTTTTTATTCGCAGAGGAAAAATGGTTAATGAATAGGATATTAATTACTAGTATTCATATTCAATAAATTGATGTGCATAAAATCAAGGTATGATAATAGATTATGACCATGAGTTTTTATTTATTAATAAAGTGAACCTTAAAAGTAGATTTAGCTGCGGTTTCATAAGCAGCGTGAATGTTCTCAAAAGATGCTATAAATGGTGTTGAACCATCATCGGTACGCTGATTCATTTCTGTTATCAAGTGTTGCATAAAATAGTGAAGTGCTCTTGGTGTTGTGATTTGATTAATGATTTCAGCATTTCTCGTGTTAGAATAATTTACAAGTGTTTTAAAATCTGCAAATGATTTACAACGACTTGCTGATGCATTTTTGTTCATTTCTTGTAGAATATAATCAGCATAATCAATTATTAATTTTGTATCCCAGTTTATTGTGTGTATTGGAAAGTTACTACTTCTAGTATTGGCATCTTGTATATTAATACCATCTATTTTAGGATAAAATATCGATAAATAAAAGTTCTGAGGTACAGCTGCTAGCAGAATTTCTTGGGCAGTCGAAGAATGACAAAATAATTCTAATGTTTGTTTATTGACCTTATTCTCCTCAAAGAAAAACCGACTTTCGTCAATTCCATCAATAATAAATACGGCTGTTTTTTTAACATGTTTCGTCATAAATAATGCAAAATGTCTCAAATTATTTAACACATTACTCGACAGAGTAGTTTGCAATGCTTTGGTTTGAAAACCTTCGCCTTCAATAATTGCTAATAACAAATGAAGTTTTTCTTGATCTTGTCTAAGAGTACTTAATTTTTTTAAATCGTTTAGGAAATGTGTAAGAAGTGGTTTATTTCGATACAGATGCCGTTCCTTAATCTGTATTTCTGCTTTACTTGCATGGTACATTGAGTTGTCGCTTTTCTTCAGAAACGAATTCACCAGTTTTTCCAGTTTGCTCACACTTCCCTCGTTATAATAATAACACATGATAGTTATTAGTTCGATTTTCTCGGCTAACGAAATATCTAGAAGATCCGCTGGCTCTCCTTCGAATGTGTTAACGAATTGTGTAACTAAAATAGACAGAAGTAACTGGCCGAAGTCATCACTTGACCATTTCATGATGCAACTTTTCTTGTCACAATCTGTTCCACTCATTGCTTTCTCTTCGACAAATCTTTGTAAATATTCATCAATCTCTTTATTTAATATTAATACTTTGAAGTAGGTATCTGGTCGTAATGATTTGTAATATTCACATCTCAATAATGTTTTCCCAGTTCCGTAAGGTGCCAATGTTAAGAATGAACTTGCTGAATAATCAGGTTTTAGTATTGCTTGCGGTAATGCTGGTTTGAATATGATAGTTGAAGCACAGTTATCAGAACTTGGTGTTGTAAAATGGTTGTTCATGCTAAGAATCCCGTAGTATTTGTTGAAATCCCGATTTTCCGCCATCTTCATATCACATACTTCAGGTGTCGATAGTTTGACGTATTTAAGAACCGAAATGCCCAAAACGGCCGCAACGAGCAAAACAAGAAATGAAAGGAATATGAAAGGTACCTTGTTTGGAGGACCTGTATTGTTCTGAGCATGTCCATTCGGTGTAATACGTACATCGGCTCCAGTGGATGCATACCCTGTGGTGAAAATATCCCTAGCTGATCTCTGGTGTAAGCCAATTATATCGGCTGTGTCTGACATGAAACTAGTCTTGTTTGATATGTCCTCTTTCTGAACTGCAACGGAGGAGACGATACACTTCTCAATGACAGAATGGTCGTTCTTTTGGGCACTTGTATCGGCCATTTATTTTATCTTTGCCTTTTATGTAAAGAATTATTGTCGTCTAAATTTTATTCGTGGCGCTTGGAAATGGATGAAGATGTTGGTTGTTACCTTTTTTTGCGTTTGATAACACACAGAATAATGTGCTTTTTCACATATGTGAATATATGTTGCATTTTTATTGTTTCAAGATAAAATGAAAGTCAGTGTCTTTATCAATATTCTGTATACAAAGAGATAGCTTGTTTGCCATATTTCTATGATACCTCAGTTTGTCAATTTAAAGTTTTGTTGTGTGTCTTAGAGTTCTGGATGTGGATATGGGTGTGAGTGTAGGGGTGAATGTAGGTGTGGGTGTTTGTGTGTAGATGCGGGTGTGAGTGTTTGTGTGTGGGTGTAAGCGTGGGCGTGGGTGTGGCTATTTGTGTGTGAGTAAGGTGTAGGTGTGGGTGTGGGTGTGGGTGGGTGAGGGTGTGGCTATGGGTGACGGTATGAGTGTGGATGTGGGTGTGGATACGACACTCACCTAACACCCACACCCATCCACTCACCCTTTTGGACAAAATCCGTCGGTTTTTCCAACAGGATTCGATAGTTGGATCTGTCGCCTAACATAAGAATGCCATAAAACAATCGAAATCAAATTAGCATCGTTTAGATTTTTTTCTTTAACAAGAAAGACGCAAAAAGATTGAATAAAAATTTCACAAATATTCACTTATTTATATATGAACTCAAAACCATTTGCTGAATAACAAATATTAGTGTTAACTTCTAAAAACTGATGGTGTGGGTGTAAACTTCAACTGATACTCATACAAATACTTGTGACCACATCCAAACTCTTCAAATACTCCTGAAAATATTGTAGAAAATAGCTGAATTAGAAGACAACCATTTTAATTATATGTAGTTCTTTGTTTTTTAGATGATCCTCTATAACTAATTTCTCTGTTGACGAAGATTTCGAAATCTTGATAACGGTATTAACATTCGTCTTTAGTTTTAAAAGAGAAAAATAAATGATTAAGTCGAATGAAAATTTTTAAATGACATCAATTGATTTTTCTTTTAATGAAAAAAGATAATTCTCCGATTTCATCTAGTTTATTCTTTCGGATAAAACAATTAATAATGAGAAATCTAATATTTCGAAATAATTTTTCTTTTCATTTTATTTTCTTCAAACTCAAGTCGATTAATTTTAGATCAATCATTTATTTAACACATTTAATGAACATCTTTGAGAAAAGTTCAAGAGAGACCTTGATCATCATGTTCAAGAGTATTGAATTGCTCAATGAATTAAAGAGAATTGAATAGATTAATGACATTTATTCATATTTCATAAAGAAAATTCTTTTTTTTGTTATTCGATGAAAATTACAATATTATTTGTATCTCAACACATATAAAAGGCGAAAAATCAACAAAATTCTCATCATTCATCTTCTTTAAAGAGATTAAGTTTTCATTCGATGTCAATGAATATTAAATTATTTTCATCATGAAGATCTCTTATCTATCGAAAAAAAGTTTTCGTTCTTTTACTACCTACTGATATTTATTAACCTTGACTCATTTTGTCTTGTATAAATAAATACACAGACAAAATAAGAACAAATATTCATTTCTTTCTCAAATTCTTCGACAAATGGCAGCAGCAAACAGCAGAGCACAATGTTCTACCTGTAATAAAGGAAATACGACATATATTTGTCGTGGATGTTCAAAAGATTTTTGTTTTCAACATTTAACAGAACATCGACAAATTCTTCATAGACAATTAGAAGAAATTATTAATGATCATGATCAATTTCAACAAACAATTATTCAACAAAAACAAAATTCACACAATTCTTCTTTAATTCAACAAATTAATGAATGGGAAACAAATTCAATTCATCAAATTCAACAAACAGCAGAAGAATGTCGAGAAACACTGATAAAAGTGACACAAAAGTTGATCGATGGTGTAGAAAAAAAGTTCATAGAATTATCTAAGAAACTAAAAGAAATTCGTGAAGAAAATGAGTTTAATGAAATAGATTTAAATCATTTTCAATTAAAATTAACACAAATTACAAAAGAATTTCTTCAACCAGCAAATATTTCTATTCAACAAGATTCACAGGAATTTATCAAGAAAATTTCAGTTATTTCGTCATTCGGTATGTTTATTCAACTATTTCATTTCGACACAGGAGAAAATGAAGTTTAACCGAGGTAGTTTTTCGTATTATAAATTAATTTTATCAACGATATTTAGAGAGAAAAGTTTTAAATATTGAAAATGAATAAATATAAGATGGAGAGAAGTCTAAAAATACATTATATATAAATGATTTGAATCTGTATTTTGAAGATATAAGGAGATATGTCAAACTATTGCAATATGAAAGCAACTGTTCAAAACTACTAATTATGATAAAAGTTCATCTGTGTAGTTAGACAGTGTCAAACGTCGAAATATCGCTCTACTATTCTAAATATAGATTAAGCTATTGTTAATTCAAAAATCAATTAACAATATTTTATACAATCATTACTTTTTTTGTTTTTTCAAAGATTTATTCAAATAGAAAATTCAATTCTAAACATATTTCTGACGATAATTAGATTTTTTATATTTGAAAAATCACTTTTAATATATTAATGAAAAGATTATCTTGTTTTTAAATTGTTCAATAAATTTAATTTAAGTTTAACTTTTTAGTTTTGATTTTTCAAATAAAAAATTATTTAATTTATTAATAAAAAAAGAAGTTTTTAATCGATTTTATTTAAATCATTCAAATAAAAATGATTTTCATTTTAAAACATTCTCCTAAATCAAAGTTCTATAAAAATCAAATAAAAAATTTTTGAATTAAAAAATCTGAAGAAATGAAGAAATTATCTGAAATAAGTTTTATTCATTAAAAATTAAGTTTAACAAAATGAACCTTTTATTTTATTAAAACAAATTCGAATACAAGTTTTCTTCTTAATTTTGTCCTTTTTGACTTGAAAATAATGAAAAAGATTTTGAATAAGACGAAAATCTTTTACTTTAGAAGAAATTCAAACAAAAAAGAATAATTTTCAACAATTTGCAATTACTGTTGCTGGGGGAAATGGAAATGGGCAGGAATTAAATCAACTCTCTTACCCTGAAGGGATCTTTATTGATAATGATAACTCAGTTTACATTGCTGATTGTTATAACCATCGTATTGTGAAATGGAAATTGAATGCAAACACTGGTCAAATCATTGCAGGCGGAAATGGGAGTGGAAATCATAATAATCAATTGAATGATCCAAGAGATATAATTTTCGATAAAAAACATAATTCTTTTATTATTTCCGATAACGGGAACAAACGAGTAATTCGATATTTTGATCAAAATCAAGCAGATCAACAAGTTATTATTTCAAATATTAATTGTGGGGGTCTGACAATCGATCAAAATGGATTTATTTATGTTTCTGACCCTCAGAATCATGAAGTAAGACGTTGGAAACAAGGAGATAAAAAAGGTGAATTAGTTGCAGGTGGAAATGGTCAAAGAAATCATCTTAATCAACTGAGCGTTCCTACTTTTATCTTTATTGATGAAGATTATTCTCTGTATATATCAGATTGTAACAATCATCGTGTAATGAAATGGAAAAAAGATGCAAAAGAAGGAATTATTGTTGCTGGTGGAAATGGCAATGGAAGTAGTCTTAAACAATTGTCTTCTCCTCATGAAGTGATTGTTGATCATTTAGGCCAAATCTATGTGGCAGATTGGGGAAATCATCGAGTAATGCGTTGGTGTGAAGGAGATGCAGAAGGTGAAATTGTTGTTGGTGGAAATGGTCAAGGAAATCAATTAAATCAGTTGAATTCTCCCATGGGTTTATCATTTGATAATGAAGAAAATCTTTATGTTGTTGATTTGGGAAATCATCGAATCCAAAAATATGAAAAACTTTCAAATTAAAAATATTTTTAATGCCATTTGATAAAATTTCGATTTTCATTTTTGAAAATAAATAAAAAAACATTAATTTTTGAAAAATCTTCGACAGAAATAAATAAAAATGAATTAAAAATTTCTTTTAATAAAATAAATAAATTTGTTATCCATTTTTAGCAAAAAAGTATATAAGTATTTGTTAATTTTAATTTTAAATTGAAAAACCAATATGAATATAATAATTCGAATAGAATTTTCGTTGAATGAGCCTAATTAAAAGAATCTTAAGGGTGGGTGTGGGTGTGAGAGTGAATCCTGCTGTATCAAACGTGTGGTACCTACACCAACACCCACACCTACCCTGTTCTTAATCATTTATCTCAAGAAATCAGCAGAAGAATTTTCATGTAATTCATATACAACTTAAACGATTAAAAATAGTGGAAATAAAGTATTTTTCTTTCGCAAAGATATCATAGCAATGCTTTTAATTAGTTTTTTCAGCTATTTATTTAAATGAATATTTTATTGACGAAATATAAATCCAAAGATATTTAATACAATTTTGTCTTTAAGTACAACAATATAATACAATACAATATAATGTGAACTCAAATATTAGATTTCTGTTCAATCATGCTACACCTCCAATTCCTATATTTGGTCGTTTATTGATTAATTCATTTTAAGAGGCTTTAAGTGGATCGGTGAATTGGAACAAAGTAATCATCATTAATGATAATATTACAGTGACATATAGATAACTAATTCGAAAATGATGTTTGTATATATTAGTGAAAAATGACACTAGAATAAAGAGAAAATAAGGCAGACCAAATGTGGTCAAAATGGTTACAAGTATTACCATACATCGAGTCATTTTCAATGCTTACTGAACACGACTTAAAATATGTGCAGGTGTCGCACGTGTACCCGCTTGCCGAATATATCCAACTAACTTCAGGGTGTGGATGTGGGTGTTGGTGTGAATGTAGATGTTGGTATAGATAAACACACAACAGTGACACCCACATCTACACCCTGAATTCGAACCGTTTGATTCTAAGTTGTGCAGGAATTCAAATGCATCGCCTGTCTAATCTACGGTTACTCTTTTTTGAGAGTAATAGTTGAAATACGAATCGCGGTCTAAACTCTGAAGACCACTAACTCGTTTATTTCAATATAATTTTATGACAAGAACAATAGAAATTCTTGAGGCTTATTTGCAAATTCCATGGCTAAAAAAGGTACTATTTGTTATTGTAATACAGAAAGAGAGAATTCATACTTTCTAAGCTTCTCTCTAGAATGTAACATTATCTTGGACGTATATATAAAGGCTTGTTTTTATCTTTTACAAGCTGAGAAGAAACCTTTTCAAGGTGAATAATAGTATTATCAGTGGAAAAGAAGAACAAAGAATTCTTACCAACATAGACTATTCATTTGTTTACCACTCTTTCAACATCGATACGATAAAAACTTCATTCAACTTAACCTGCAATCCGCGAATCCAGTATCTTCTACACTTCACAGAGATAAATTATTAGCAACATATACATGAAACCGGAACAATAATAACTGCTTTGTAATCAACCAAAGCCACTACCTATAACTTGTCTTATCCTGTTTCACAGTCATCCACTACTCTTTTCGAGAGTACGGATGAGAGCTTAAGTGTGTCTCCCCTCTTCACTCTTACCTTCATATCCAGCGCATTTGTTGTAATCGTTATTTTGTTTTACAGTGCATCAATCCACAAGTAAAACGAAATTCTTCTAGAATCCAAACTTTAAGGGTACAGGTATGAGTGAAGAGGAGATACACATCCAAACACATATCCTCTACCTGACATTATAGATATATTATTAAGATCAACTAATATTCAATTTTATTTTTGTGTTTTAGATAAAAAAAGTGAATCTGAAATAATTTAATTAATTCTTTCGGATTGTAAACAAAGTCGTCGATAATGAATCGTTTTAGTGATATTGATTCAACATTGAAAAGACTTCCAGCAGTTTATGGCTATCATAGTGAAGAACTTGTTTCACTTGAACAAGCCTTAGAATCTATTAAATTACAAATTAATGGGTTAAAATTTTATATAACAACAGCTAAAAAACATTGCCATTTTCCATCAGAACACGGATTAACACGTGATGAATCAGCTGCTGTTTATATTTATACAATGGAGTGGGGGAGAACAAGTTTATATCATGTTCTTAATGAAGCATTAAGAGATGCCAATAGACAAAACATTATAATATGGCTTTCTTATTTAAAATTATTCGATACTGCATTAGATAAATTACCAACTATTAAAGATAGTGTGTGGAGAGGTATTCCACTTGATATTGGAAAGAATTTTACCAAAGATCAAGTTTTAACATGGTGGACAGTTAATTCTTGTTCATCTTCAGTTAAAGTTATTAAGAATTTCCTTGGAAATAATAAATCTTCAACTCTTTTCTTAATCGAAATTATCAATGGAAAAAAAGTATCTGGTTACACAGTATATCAGGATGAAGATGAGATTATTTTGAAAATTGGAACACAGTTTCGTGTTAAAAGTGATCCATTAGAACAGTGAAATCAATCACATATTGTACATTTAATGGAAATTGATAATAATGGTGATGAGGAATCATTGGCATCGACTATGAACAATCATAGTGTCACCCTAGAACCATCAAATCAAGGAGCATCCAGTAAGTCACTTATATTCTTTCTTTAACAACAAACAGCAATCTATGATTAATCTGAAATTTTGAGAGGTTTGTGGAAAATATCATCTATATATACAGAAGAATGCTTATTTTTTTGTTCTTTTTGCATTCGATCCCTGTGATGATAGCTGGCATCACCAAACTTTCCATAGTGCTCCACTAGGCCCAGCTGAAGGTCGAGAGGGGGTAGCATGACCACCAAGAGTGGATGTGCGGACATAGAGTGAAATTTCACCCAGATCGTGGTAAACTGCAATTTTCGCCATTTTTCAGAATTTAAAAAAATTGCTAAGATTTTGAGACTATTCACCTCCTACTTTCTCCCTTTCGCCCTGATTGTGAGTGTAGAGTATGGAAGCGAGCATCTGTCTATTCAAACAAGAATGTTTGTTCTTTGTACATTTGATCTTGTTAATTACTAGCGTCAACAAACCTTTTATGGCATATCTCTTGATCTAGAGGACAATTGAGGCAGAATTCGCGCGACAGAGGATGGTAGGAAAGAGGTTGGATAAAATCTCACTCAGGTTAAACATGGTATAGTTTCCATCGAGTTTTTAGAAATTCTGAAGAATTTACTTCGACTTCAGACTATATTCTTTTCGCTTATATCTATTTGCACTTTCTCTGGATCAAAAGCTGCCGACTAATCGAAGGTTTCTACGTCAGGGATGCTATGTGGCCTTATTATAGAAGTATCACAATATATTTTCTATCCGAAAAGTCCGACCGTCCAGTTGTGAGTATGAGTGTGGGACTAGGTCTGGGTCTAGGTATATACTCATTCCCTACCACATCCACATCAAAATCCAGACCCAAACTCACAACCACCCACCCTCACGCCCACCAACTCAGGCCCACACCCTCGATTAAATCTACTAGTACCAAGCCATATGTTACAGCAAATGTAGATGCTCAAACCAACACAGATTCTCCAACGATGGCAGATGTTCAAGCTAACACAGATCCTCCAGCCAAGCCAGATGCTCAAACAAGGGTATATGCTCCAAACAAGTCACCTTGCATATTTATTTCACTTCTTGTTTTGGGCGGATTAATCGTTTCGGGCATTTTCATTCTTATTTACGCCAACTTTTCGACTCCCGAATCATGTGATATGAAGATGGCGGAAAATCGGGATTTCAACAAATACTATGGGATTCTTAACATGATAAATCATTTTACAACAACAAGTGCTGATGACTGTACTTCGACTATCGTATTCAAACCAATATTGCCTCAAACAATACTAAAACCAGATCATTCAGCAAGTTCATTCTTAACATTAGCGCCTTACGGAACTGGGAAAACATTATTGAGATGTGAATATTACAAATCATTACAATCAGATACCTATTTCAAACTATTAATATTAAATAGATATATTGATGAATATCTACAAAGATTTGTGGACACGAAAGCAATGAGTGGAACAGATTGTGACAAGGAAAGTTGCATCATGAAATGGTCAAGTAATGAATTCGGTCAATTACTTCTATCTCGTCTAGTTACACAATTTGTTGAGACATTCGAAAAAGAGTCATTGTATCTTCCAAGTATTTCGTTAGATGAGAAAATGGAACTAATAACGATCGTGTGTTATTATTATGATTATCAAGGTCTGAGCAAACTGGAAGACTTCGTGAATTCTTTTCTGGAGAAAACCAACAAATCAAGGTACCGTGTAACTAACGCAGTAGCACAAATTAAAGAGCACAATAATGTTCACACAGATAAACGACTTCTTACCCATTTGCAAAATGATTTAAAAAAGTTAAGTGTTCTTAGACAAGATGAGGAAAAATTGCTTTTATTATTAGCGATCCTTAAAGGTGAAGGTTTTCAAACCAAAACAGAAAAAACAACTCTTTCAAATAATGTATTAAATGATTTGAGACATTTTGCATTATTTATGAAGATTCACGTTAAAAAAAGTGTCGTATTTATTATTGATGAAATTAATGAAAACCGGTTTTTCTTTAAGGAGAATAACGTTAATAAACAATCATTAGAATTATTTTGTCGTTCTTCGTTATCTCAAGAAATTATTGCAATGGTTATGGCTCATAATTTCTATTTATCGATATTTTAGCCTAAGATAGATGGCATTAATATGGACGATGGTATTATTCGAAAGGATAAATTTCCCATACTTGAAATCAATTGGAATTTGCAATCAATAATTAATTATGCTGATTATGTTCTACAAGAAACAAATAAAAATACGTCACCATTTCGATGCAAATCATTTGTAGATTTTAAAACACTGGTGAATTATTCTAACCCGAAAAATGCTGAAATCATTAATCAAATTTCAACACCCAGAATACTTCATTATTTTATGCAACACCTGATAACAGAAATGAATCACTGTGCAAATGTTGTTAAGGAACCATTTATAGCGACTACCGAAAACATTTATACTGCTTATGAAAAGGCAGCTAAATCTACATTTAAGGTACACTTTATTAATAAATAAAAAATACATGATCATAATCTATTATCATACCTTGATTTTATGAACATCAATCTATTGAGTATGAATAGTATTACTTAATATTCTATTCATTAACCATTTTTCATCTGCGAATAAAAAGGGGTCTTTTTCTTTAATAGTTTTTGATAATATAATTTATTGTTTTATGCACAATAAATATGAAACAGATTTACTTTCTAAACTAGGGTGTGGGTGTGGGTGTTAGTATTCTTCTCATTCATCACCTACACCCACACCCACTCACCTTCACACACATTCGTCCATTCATTCAGTATCGCCTTGCTGTTTGAAGAATACAGTTTAGAAGTGACATAAATGATAGGAGTTGACTAAAACTTTATACTGTATTTCTTCTAGTTTTAAATAATACCAATATTTCTAAGCCGCACGATATGAAGTGCGAAATCGTATTAAACAAACTGACTGATAGTGACTTGACCTTGTTCAAATAATCCACTCAATTACAGTACTTATGGCACTATATGCATGCTATGTCTTATGTACCTCTCGAAATACAAATGCGATCTTAATTATTTGCATACATCTTGAAAGATGGATGGGTTTGTGGATGTTATATTCTTCTTCTATCCACACCCACACCTACAGCCTTAAGCCTCATTTCAACAGCAAGTAAACATCTACAAATGTTTCTTTGTGAATAGTGCATTTCATATAAGATTGTATCGATGCAAGATACTATTGTAGTAGTGGAGATGGAAAAAGCAAGGCATAATACTGACACGGTAAGCGTTTATTTATCAAATAAATAATCACAAGTTCATTGCTTATTCTTTTCTGATTTATTCCACGATATTCCATTTGGTTCACTCTTGATTATGATAACAAAAACAAATGCAATTATTTGGACTTTTTGATTGGAAGTAACTTGTGAGAACCAACAATGTCACGTTTGATGACTTCGTACGTATTTCCGTTTCGTATATAATACCAATAATAGTTCTCCCACAGGAAATAGAAAGTATGATCTTCTATCCATGTGAGCGGATACGCTTTATTTAGAAATATTGCATTATTTGCCATAATTTCGATAAGTAAATTATTATGAGATTGAATGAAACGACCTAAAAGTTTACCGCCCATTGTAATATTTGATTCTTGTGATCTTGTGTCTCGAATGATCTTCAGAAAGTAAAAGAAAAAAGAAAATAAAAAAGAGAAAATGAAGAAGATAAGTGGGTGTGAGTGTGTCTGTGAATGTAAATCCTTTTTACCCACACTCAGCATAGTAAACATCCATGGAATCTTTGGCATAATCAAAACCTGTGTCTTTAATTGATGATGCAGAAAGACCTTCAACTATTTGCCCATTGAAATAGACGTTATTGGAACTTACTCGGTAACCACTACTTGGAAGATGTGATGTAGCATTCTCAAACAATTGCCGTCGATGATGATGCTGTTCTTGTCTTGTGTCTTGAACTACAACGGCCATACATATCGACAATACCAAAAGTTTAAACATGATTGTGCAGAAAAATCACTTATCCTTCTTTAAGATTAAAAGAAAGTATTATAATGCAAATAACGTTTTCACTTAATGTATTTATACAGGATGATAACAGCAATTAATGGATATCGCCAAATATTTGTTTTTATCAGGAAAAAACATCTAATCTTTAAATCAGTAAAATGGAAGTAATGTGCGCTGATATTATTACTAGTGATCATTGGTATTAAGATTAAAGATAAGATATTGGAGTAATGAGTGATTCGATGGGAAGCGCCACACATTTTTAGAAATTGATTTTTTTGTACACTGTTTTTGGGCTAGGGTGTGGGTGTTGGTGTTAGTGTTGTACTCCTCTCATATCTACACTCATGTTCTCACCCATATCTTCACATGCATTTCTTTTTCATCATCTAGTGTTTCCCTTTTTTCCTGGAAAAGATGATCGAGTGTGTATTCGATGGATGAGAGCAAACGACACTCGAGCCTATATTCATTCGGATGGTTTCTTATCTTTATCAGAAAGCTAATTCTTCGAACACTCACTTGTAGACTAAAATATGTGAATTTTTGCAGATGCCTATTTGATGCTACCAAAAAAAAAGCAAGAGTATAGAAAATAACATGTATACTAGGCCTTTGATTACTATTTAATAAAAAATTGAAAAGGTAAGTATCAGTAATAATTAATAACTGTATTCAAATCAGTCTACGTAAGTGTTTCTAAAACGCTTTCTGTTTCTGAAGAACCATGGATCTTACTTAGTTTCATACTGATCCTATCACGAATCAAAAAGTACGTGCACTGGTCACATTAAACGTATAAGATTACGTACCTGTTCGCCGAAAACGAGATCACCGACGATGCCGATCGCCGAAACTCGTGCCAAAATAAACATCATCGAAAAGAGAGATTACCGAAATGATATTATCGAAGTAGACGTTATCGATCTACTGATCATCGAAATGAAGATGGGTGTGGGCGTGGGTGTGAGTGTGAGTGGCTGTGAGGATGTGCGTATGAGTGTGGGGGTCAAAATTAGGCGAAGACAAGACCATCACCCACACCCACCCTCAAGATTTTCATTTAAAAAAATATTCAAGTTTCAAATATCTTTAAGTATTAAAAAATCACCACTGACCATATGAACCACTTCGACCTCCATATGAATCATCACCATACGAATCTATA